GGTCAAATCCAAGGTTCATTGCTCCTTCATTCTAAATAATCATATTATGCATTATTATACAAGCTTTCATAATATTTGCAAGCATTTCTTCATCCCAGTATCGAATAATTCCACATACAATTGCAAAACAAGATTGGAGCACCCCAAATGCCCGCTCCACGTCCTTTCTTGCAGATTGTTGCTTACTTGTAAAATATTTTCTCTTTACTCCTAATGGCCTTGGAATTATCTTAACAAAAGTTGACCAATTAGAATAAATCTCATTTGTTAAATAGTATCACATTATATATGCATGCTTATTAATTGTATAATTGACAAAAACAATATGACTTTTAGCAAGTACAGCGAAGATAGATGACCGATTAAGAACATTAATATTATTTAATGATTGTTAAATAGTATCACATTATATATTCATCCTCATTAATTGTATAATTGACAAAAACAGTATGACTTTTAGCAAGTACAACGAAGATAGATGACCGATTAAGAACATTAATATTATTTAATGATCCAGGCATTCCAAAAAAGGCATGTCATATCCAAAGATCTTGTGAAGCCACCACCTCTAAAATTATAGTTGGCTCACGATAATAACCAATATACATCTCATATCATGCAATTGGGCATTTATTTCATTTCCAATGCATGCAGTCAATGCTCTGTAACATCCCTAGAAATCCACACTACTCTCCAATTGATAATAATCAATAAATATCGGCCTGTTTGGTGCCCTTAGATACCAATCACCAAAAAATTTTATGATTGCTTTGACGAAATCTCTAAGACTTTCTATTCCAATGCTTTCTCTAATTTCAAGATATTCATTAATAAGATCTGTAAAAATATCATATGCAAGTATTCTGTGAGCTCCAGTTACCTTTTGAAGGCAAGATGAATCAAGAACACCAAGAGCATCTATTTTTTATTTGAAATATGGATTACGAGCTTCCACTGCATCTGCAATTCGAAGAAAAAAACAATGACTTATCCTAAATTTTCTTTGAAATTGAGTTTCAGTGAATTGAAGATTTTCAGCAAAATAATTATTATATAATTTTAACTTACCTTCCTTTCTATTACGATTGACAATATTGTGACCAAGAATAGAGCCACGATACCCCGTTCTCCACCCTTAATTATTTGATTCTTCTTCAGCAACCACAATGGTAACAACTTGAAAAGCGAACACAAGAGTGTCATCATCAAAATCAAAAGCATCATAAAATTTAAAATTAGAATGATTCATGATGAATTTTAATGAAATATATTTTTGATTGGAGAGAAAAAAAATGGAATGATGAGAAAATTTATAAATGGATTATTTTTTAAAATTTTAAAATCTTAGAATGTTGACAATTATTTTTAAAAAATTTAAAATGTTTGGTAGTCATTTTTTTTAAATTTGAAATTTTAAAATTTAAAATGGTGGCGGTCATTTTTTCAAAGTATGAATTTTTTTAAAAAAAAATTGAAAATAAAAATTTAAAATATTGACGGTTTTTTTCAAAGTTTGAATTTGAATTTACTTTTAAAAAATTAAATTTTTAACAGTAACG